GCAGGCCCTGGTCCGTGGGGGTGGGGGGGGGGGGTGGGGGCTGCCTGAGATGACTTAAGTGGCCTGGCCTCCAGAAAAGCTGGCTACCAACGGTCTTGTCCCCGTTTCTGTGCCATAGGAATTCCCTGGAAAACTGCGTCAGGCTGTTTTCCCACAGGCTGGCATCCCTTACCTGGAGTGGCTGAGACCCTGAGATGTTCAGAGTGGGTTTTTGTCTCACAGACCCACACAGCCTGCATGTCAGCCAACCTCGGAGCCCTCCTGAGAACAGGCCATTATGCCCAAGATAATCCTGAGTGGGGTGACCGTGGATTTCCCCTTCCAGCCATACAAATGCCAGGAGGAGTACATGGCCAAAGTCCTGGAGTGTCTGCAGAAGGTAAAGCTTGTACCTGGGGGATGGGTCAACGTGGGAAGAACTTCAGCAAAGACCCGACATAGCCCATGGCCTATTCATCGTGGCCAGTCCTACTGCGTGAAAGGCACCTTCCGGACATGGGGTTCAGTAAGTAGGGCCGATGTTCTAGGTGGGATAAGAGACAATAAACAAGGAACAAGAAAAGATCATTCTAGACGGTGATGAGTGCTGTGAAGAAAAGACAAAAGGTGTAGGCTTCTGAGGAGGCCTGAGGAGATGATGTTTGAGCTGAGGCCCAGTGAGCAGCCAGCCATTTGAGGATCCAGAGGGCCTGTTTCCACATAGAGGGATAGAGGGTCAGCCAGTGCCCAGTCCTCACTGTGGAAGGTCTTTAAGCCTCGGGGGAGTGCAAGGAGGGAGGAGGATGCAGGTTGCATTCTGCTACGTTTCTTCGCGTGTCCTCTTCCCTGCTCGAGCCCCAGCCCCTGAGGGCTGCCTGACCTGGGCTCCAGGCTGCTCTTTTTTTTTTTTTTCCAAAGTAGTTTATACACTTTATTTTATTTTTATTGTTTTAATTGTTTTATTGCTTAAAGTATTACAAAGAGTATTATCTATGTCCCCTTTTTTTCTCCCCTTGACCCTCCCCTAACCTCCCATGCCCCCCAGTGTCTTGTGTCCATTGGTTATGCTCATATGCATGCATACAAGTCCTTCAGTTGATCCCTTCCCCCCCCCCCCACCCCCCAACCATCCCCAGCCTTCCCGCCGTAGTTTGACAGTCTGTTCGATGTTGCTCTGCCTCTGTATCTATTTTTGCTCATCAGTTTATAATAGTCTTAATTATCCATGAATGAGTGAGATCATGTGGTATTTTTCTTTCATTGACTGGCTTATTTCACTTAGCATAATGCTCTCCAGTTCCATCCATGCTGTTGCAAACGGTAAGAATTCCTTCTTTTTTTTTTTTTTAATATATTTTATTGATTTTTTACAGAGAGGAAGGGAGAGAGATAGTTAGAAACATCGATGAGAGAGACATCGATCAGCTGCCTCGTGCACATCTCCTACTGGGCATGTGCCCGCAACCCAGGTACATGCCCTTGACCGGAATCGAACCTGGGACCTTTCAGTCCGCAGGCCGACGCTCTATCCACTGAGCCAAACCGGTTTCAGCAAGAATTCCTTCTTTTTTACAGCATTTTACAGATAGTATTCCATTGTGTAGATGTACCACAGTTTTCTAATCCATTCATCTGCTGATGGGCACTTAGGCTGTTTCCAGATCTTAGCTATGGTGAATTGTGCTGCTATGAACAGAGGGGTGCATATATCCTTTCTGATTGGTGTTTCTGATTTCTTGGGATATATTCCTAGAAGTGGGATCACTGGGTCAAATGGGAGTTCC